TGAGCTTAATACGTACACCACGCATTGCCTAATCGTGGTATGACTGATGGAAAAAACAAAAACAAAGCGTAGTTTAAAGCATATAACCAGTAAAGCGGTAACCTCCAGATCCTCACATGACTTGAAGGTCATATCCCGCAGAGAGAAGAAAGCAGCTGAAGTAACTGTAAAAGGCGCTGCGATTTCTTTTTCGTGTGCAACAAGTAAAAGTACTGCTCATCAGAGAGCAACCATTTCCCTGAGGGTAATTTGCATTGCTAAACCATGTTTTCCAGGCTTTAAGGGTTGCCCTTTAATGATCTCCCTAGTGCTTGACTGCCTTAGAGAGCCTGACCCATTCCTATGCAGCTCTTCTTTCTTGTATGCTGCACCAAAAAAAGTCTGATGAGGTGTTTGTCATTAATAAAAAGGAATTGACTGCTTACAGAGGCTGTTTTTCAAGTTTTTGTGATAAATCACTTTGAATCACAGCCAGAGGGAAGTGCAGTAGTCAAGATTATCTCCCTCTGACATTATTCTCACCATATGTTAGTTACTTATTGTTTGCTTTTTGAACTTTTTAGTCCCTGCAACATCCAAGCACTCCTCCTCTATCTTGGGCTTTGACACTTCTGTTTTTAAATGGTCTCAAATGAAGTCGTGCAAAAAGTATGGAAGCAGGTACACAGACACAAGATTGAGAAGGATGGGGAGTGTAGGTACAAGAAGAAATAACAGGAAAGAGACTGAAACCTGACTGAGAACCTGTGCTTCAAACTATCTCTCCACCTATGGGATCCAAACCACCACATAGAAGAAAAAAAAAGTATGTTTCCCTACCTCAGTGAACATGACAGTGGATTTTAGCCTCCAGTTTGTAACGCCGTGTATTCCAAATAAAAGCTGAAATCAGATATGCCAGAATCTCCTATTACTTTGAGTTTGAAGTATAAGGCCACATCTTCTGTAGCTGGGCATGTCCTTTGCTTCCTCAGTTTGTGTTACTGCTGGGATAGATTAAGGTGACTCACCTTTCCCTTTGAGTCTCCTAAAGCATGTAACAAAGATGGATCAGTAGAAAATGCTTAATTTACTATCAATACTGGTATCTTTAGCTGTAGATAACTCATCTCAGGTCAAATAGCAATGCTTTTTGATATTTATATTATGAATTTCTTTTAATTTATTTAATTCAGTCCCTGAGTCCTTTCAGAGTTGTGGCACAAAAGCAGGAAACATAAGGACTATAATGGTGGCTCAATGCCTAAAATTAATTTGGTCCACAATTAATTTGAGATTCCTCTATAGATTGTACCACTTTGTTATCCTTTAGTGTTTTACACAGATGGATGAAGGAGCTCAGAATGCAGAACAAAGAAGGAAGGGGTAGAAGGAAAACATCAGGTATATAATCAGAGCATGATATACAGCTGAAATCGGCAAAAGTGTGATGCATGTGAAGAAGGGAACATAAACACTAAGAAAAACCATTAACAGTAACTGTGTGCAAGCCAAAAAAGTCAGTTTATTGTTCCTTTTGTGTACAGCGAATTTGATCTAAAACTCAGAAGTTGCAGCAAGGATTCCTAGCTACCGCAGTCAGCTATAGCTCCGGCTTTGTGTCTCTGTCTCTATACATGCACACACGTACGGCGTATGGTTAGACATCTTTCTGCTTCTGTGGATATACATACCTATCTCTGTGCATCTGAGTATGCATATATATATATATAATTATGCATGTATGCATCTTTTTCACAGTTACTTTGAAAGTCACGCAGATTAAATGCAGTCCTTTAGAGCAATGCATAATAATGAACAAGACGATTAGTGGCTGAGTAGCCATACATAGGCATGTGTGTTCAAGGCTCAGTCTGCCAAAGTATAAAAAATATGGGCTTAAGTGTCACGAGGACCAGTTAGCACAGGAATCAACAGCAGCTGGAGTCTAATCCTGCACCATTTCCATCAGAGGCAGCTTTGCCAGTGATGCTCTGAATGCAGGACTGATGCCTGGCCCAAAGCCCAGGAGAATACCTTTTTTTAGGCCCCAAGTGGTGAAAAAGGGGGACTCTGGTAAAAGTGAATCCTCCCCTCCTCTGTCACAGACATTTGTTCTTCTTCCTGCCCTTGTAATCTATACTGTATTTACCCAGTTCTCACTGCAGTCTGCATTCTCAGATGGAGTTTACCCACATACTTATGTACTACGTTACCTTCAGCAGTTTCCTCTAAATACCTCCCATACTTGCTTGCTGGCCTGAAGAAGGCAGCTCAGCACTTTCACTCCTCCTTGCCATTTCCAGTGCTGCTGCTGACACACATTTTACAGCCGAAGATGTGCTTCTGAAGCCTGTAGCTGCTCCTCAAAGTAGAGGAGCTGATCCACTTCAAAGCAATCACTTGCTCTAGAAACCAGGTTCTCCAGGCGTCTCCTGATCTCCTCCTCACTGGCATCCTGCTGTCTCGCTTGCTTGAGATAGCTGTACACTGCCTCAAATACCTCTGCTCCCAGCTTTCCAATGGCAGATCTGGGGATAAATATTGTAAATAAGGTCAAGTAAAAGTTAATTCACATTATATATTAATACAAGCAATAGCTAGTACTGATATTTTTAAATTCTGTAGCTACCTTTGATTAAAATGATATAATGATGCACCTTATCTGTCTGATGGTATGAGAAACTAAAGTTTCTTGGAGATTCTCTCCATGATTGTTTGTTATACAAAGAGCTCAGGAGTAAAAACCTGGCTACAGTCAAGTCATGGGAAGCATGGCCATTGTCATCGTTACAAACCAAGACTCCTTTTCATGCTGAATCTGACATACTGGTTCATTTACAGCAAGCCCGGTATACACACACGTCTTATTGCCTCTGGATTTCATCAAAACCAAAAGGAGAAACCCCAGTCAGCCATACACCAGTGGCATTTTATGTGAACAAACACATTTTAGGATTCATTACTTTATTTCAGCTTCTATCAAAATAAAAAGGAAACCATTGTACGAGCTCAGCATGAGCTAACTGACACTTTTTTCTTCTCCTACAGCACTCTCCTTTTATCAGAAGACAGATCTGTAATTCAGTGACAAAGAGTACACTCACAGGACCTTAATGGTGATTGATAAAGAAGTTCCATTTGCAAACTGCAAGACAATGAACAGCACTTCTTTTTCTAAAGCCAAACATCTTTAAATTTATGTATCACAAGCCACAGGTAACATGAAATTTTCCATTCAGTGATGGGTTCATAGTATTTTGATGAAAATATCAAGAGTAATTTTCCTTCAACATATCAGAAACTATCTGCCCACTCTGCGCATGTCTGCCCCAGGATTTGTGTTGGGTTTTTTCACTGAACTTTTCTATGTTAGAGCAGTTGAGATTTTACTCTCTTTTAGTGTCAGACTTGCACGTTTTAGAGGTGATGATGCCCTTCACTTAGTTAGAAAGTGAGCTGGACTCACTGGGATCACCTTGCAGGAACCACAGCAGTTTTCATTAAAAAAAGTCTTATTTTGGTTAGGTAAAGTTGTGGTAAGCAGCCTTTCCTCCCACTAGCATTTTGCTAGGATTTCAAGAGTATCTAGGTGGGACAATCATTCCTTTTTCAGGAAATCCCTGAAGACCTCTTCAATAAAGCTTCTCAGCATATCTGAATGAGGTTTCTCTGACAAATTTTTCTTCCATACTAAGACAAACTAATGTTATCTGAGATTCTAATGCTCTCACATATTTCTCAAGAATTACACATATTGTGTGTCTAGTGTGTTAAAACATCTGATGCCTTAACACTTTGCTTGGTGGTAATCCTTTTAGACAAAAATAAGGTATTATGAAGTAAACCGTATAGTAATCCAAAATCTCAGCCTGAATAGCTGCACTCATGTTCCCTTTCCACTGAGTCTCTGTCACACAACTGCTTTCTACAATTTTAGACTACGGAAAACTGAGAGGATGGCCCCCAGAGTTGTTCCAGGATGGGAATTGCCTCGTTTATCACCCCAGCAGCAAGCTGCCTGATATGTATAAAGGATTAGCACGCCTTTACAGTGTTCACTGTCTATACTACCTCCGATGGGGGCTTTGAGACGCTCCCCACTTCTGCACGAAGGGCACTTGCCGACACGGCCTCAGGCATGAGCAGGGCAGAGAAAATTCCTGCCTGCCAGAGAAAATCCCAGTGCCCACTGCCTGCCGGGAGCTGCCCCTGGCCCTGGGCTCCCGCTGCCCACAGTAGGCTCCACCGCCCGGGGCAAGGGGCGGCAGGGAGCTGGGGCACGCTCGGCTCGTGACCACGCCAAGGATCGCCCTTTCTGAGCTGCACAGGAGTAGAGAAAGGGATCAGAGTTGTCTCAGCATTGAGGCTGAGCACTCTCATACTCCACATGTGGGTTCAGAGGGAGCGCGCACAAGACTTCCCAAAAGCAGTCTGAAGGGTTAAACCTGCATGCTGCCCCCCAGCCACACCACATACCCCAGTTGCACTTTTTTTGCTGATTTTGTACTGATTTTGCTACGTGTCTAACACCAGGGCAAGGCCAGCTGTTCCAACCCGATAACCTAACTCACCTAAAGGGGTGACTGCTTTTCCTCTGTGGTCATCCTGTTATTGCTGAGGAATAACATCATTACAGTGAAATTGCAGTCAGTAAAATTTCCACATTATGTAAATTCCTCCATTCTTAGAAAACCGTTGCAAAGAATTTTACTTTATTGTTTCTCAAACTTCATTTGATATGAAAACATACAGTTTCCTCAGTAATACAGAACCACTTTATTAGCATATAAGAGACTTCTGAAAAATCCTGTTGTTATATATAGTAGGGCCTACTGCTGGTAAAAGTGGACGATGCATCTAACATGGTATTTCTGCCTGGCGGATAGATGAGATGACTGCTGGGATCTCACGAAGAGGAAACACTTCTCCTCACGTCCCGTCTGCTCTCACTGCTTTTCTGCAACTCCATCATGCCCAGCTGTGATCCCCCTTCAGCTACACGTTACCCCTCCTGCTGGCTCCTCATGCAGAGGCGGATTGGGAACTCAGGGCAGAGAAAGACAAGATCCAGGATCAGAAGCCACAGGGCCAAGCTGGAATCTCTGCAGGTCCAGACCTGACTCAGCCCTGCTTCCTGTCACTAGAATCTGCCCTTTTTTTTCTACCAACAGTGCTGTTTAGGGGAAATCCAAAACCGTTGGAAGTGATTAATTCTCAGATACTGGAAAGCTAGGGATTAGATTGCCACAGAAAGCTAAGTAGGGATTTTTTTGGCAAATAACGTACCCTTCTTCACAAAACTTCATCAGAAATATCACAGTATTTCACTCCAAGAGTTAAAAATCAATACAAGAGAAGCTATTTTGAAATCACCGCTGCTTCATCAATGCCTTTACTGATTCCTCTCCCCCTCTTACAAAAGTATGTTTAATTTTTTGGCAGTCCTGTCTATTTGAAGATGAAAAATTAAGCTAATACATATCTCAGGAGTATTGCTTCTGCTAATAAATGTGACCTGCAGGCTTGAGTCTTTTCAGTTACGCTTGGCGGAGCATGCAAATCAGCTAATCTGTATAATAGCTGATACAATAGAATTAGGGGAAAAATGTTCATAGGTTGAAAATTAAGGGGTAGGTAACAAAAATTATAACCTGCTTTTACAAAAGAAGACATCAGGCTCTGTTTGGACTTAAGAGCTGCATTAATGTGAGTCTGCTACCACATCATGCATTTGCTGTCACAGAGGCAGAAGTGTGGGATCTGAGACAGTAAATGTCAAACAGACGTTACAGAGTGAATCTCTCACCCTGATGGAGGGAGGGGGGAAGCGGCTTCCTGGGAAGTGAGTTTTGCACATTATGGCCCCGATCCTGTGCTAGGGGATATTTTTCCACCCCTGTGAAGTCCTACAGAGGCAAATTATGGGTTTTGTACTGCCCTTCTGTTTATAGTTACTTCTATTTCACATGAAATATGGGACACCTGCATTTACAGTTTTGAAATGGTTAAAAGCCTTACCACCAAACAAGTACAGAGTGCCCATTTACACTCCCATTTGGCCATGTTTTCTGATTTACTGGCATTTACTCCCTTTGTGCTATCCTGTAGCTTGCTCACCGACAAACTCACTATTTTCCCACAGAAATGAGTCATCATCTCTTTCTCAGCCAAGACTACACAAGCAAAGGGGATACCTGACATTTGGGATTTTGTTACTCTGACAATCTTTGTGGGCCAGAACCCCACCCCACAATGCCCTAATTTTTTTTTTCACTATGCTGAAATCAAAGGAGTTACATCAGGCTCTACCATCCAAGGGTCTGACCCAGGATGATATACACTAATGTGCTTAAATGTCATATCTCAGATCTTTTTTTCTTTTGTTTCAGTATGTTACAAAGGCTTAGATGTATGGAGGGATTCATTGCTGGCATTTTAGCACTGTTCCCTAACTTTTAACCATCTTGTTTGTGCAATGAAATTCACAGCTCTGTGGTTGAACCCTAAGCTCCTTGTCTAATGCAGGCACCCCAGAAAGGCACCCACCCAAAACAACAGCCCACCACAACTGCAAAAGGGCATATCCTAAATCTGACACCTGGCTGGCTTTAGTAAAGTTGGGAATCACCTCTGTCCACCCAGGACTCACAGCAATTCAACATGACCACACAGGTACTCAGTTGTCCCCTCTTATCCCAGGGTCCATGGTTAGAGCATTCACCCAGAGAGCTGGAAACCTGGGGGTAGAAGGAGATTCAAACCCACACCTCCCAGAGCAGTACCATAATCACCAGTCAGATCGAGGGATGAAGGACTCTCCTTCACCTTCATTCTGATTTGTATCAAAGCAGGTGTATCGGGCTAGAAGAGAATAAGCCACGACAGAGGATAACTCTGGATAGATTGGGGACCAAGAACAACACTGGACGTATGTGCAAACATTATTTGCATGAAACAGTCCCTGGATAAAATAATATGAGCAGTCCTTGGAGTCCTTCAGTCCTTGGAACTGAAATACAGGTTACCACACATGAGTGAGTGGCCAGAGAGCATGCTTTCCCACTGCAAACCACAAGAGATTCAACAGTAAGCACAACTTCCCTCACACCTTCTGGCTGCAGAGAGCAGGCCCAATGCTCCAGGCAGAGGAGGCACAGGACTGGGGGCATCCATAGCCTGGACGCATGCTGTGACCACCAACATACTGGCTGGACAGCAGATATTGCCAGTCATCCATAGAATCATAGAATCACTTAGGTTGGAAAAGACCTTTAAGATCATCAAGTCCAACCTTTAACCTAACACTGCCAAGCCCACCGCTAAACCATGTCCCTAAGCACCACATCCACTCATCTTTTAAATACCTCCAAGGGTGGGGACTCAACCACTTCCCTGGGTCGCCCATTCCAATGCCTGACAACCCTTTCAGTGAAAAGATATTTCCTAATGCCTAACCTAAACCTCCCTCGGTGCAACTTGAGGCCATTTCCTCTTATCCTAGCACTTGTTACTTGTGAGAAGAGACCAA